AGTCACAGTGATGAGCGACACAGACTTTCTGTATCTGTGTGTTGTTATTGTGATTGAAGTGTGGTGAGGTTTCCTATGTGATCCTCTCACCAGTCATCTGGTGCAATTATTGCTGAGTGGAACACACATGGAGTGCTGCGAGGAGAAAGGTCGTCCCAAGACAAGCTGTCAAAATATTAATTACTAAGTTGAATCATTTATTTTTTCATAGAGTAAAAATCTATACCTGTCCCACACCGACTTATCAAGTCATGCTTAATTATATCCTTGTAGTTTTCCAACTTAATTTACATAATGTGTTAATTCTGACAAAAATACCTCTGAATCTGCACAGGAGTGCATGTCTTGTTGTTTATTAGGTCTGATAGATCTGCTGAATAGTGTTGCTCATGTTCATGGATATAACTCATGGGTTTTTACGTCCCACTCTGATGCTGGCAAAGCATTGTCTTTTGCACAAAGCCTCCTTTCTTCCACAGAGATCTATACATTTCCTATTTTTACAAATTCTTCCCCTAAAGCCCCCAAAACCCTTAGTCAATTGCTCTGCAATGTGCATGAATGTGAGCAGACAGAAATCTGACCAGGGAATCCCCTGTGATTGGTAGGAAAGTCTAACAGGAAATAAAACCTGGACATTCCTGTCTAGGTTGCACATCCAGCATTCAGCTTCAATGTACGACATGCTTCCTCAGAGAGAAGACTATTAGAATAAAGGAATGAGTCTATAAGGGCATAGATTTAGGAGAGAGAAAAACACAGAGGAGAGAAAGCATAAAGAGGCTCTTGGAGCACGAACATATTCAATGGCTTTACATTACACAGTTAGAGTGACCTGAACAAGCCAATAAATCCACTCCAGCTACACTCACACTGTGGCGTATAAATGTCAGTGGAGGAAGGGAGTAATAGCTCCTTGTCAACAAGATTGAATATTCAGAACTTAATTCATTTCTGCTGCAACAGTGTGATAAAGGCTGCAAGAAGGGGATCAATAGGAAGAGCCTATTTTAGATGATTGATCTCGGAAAATGACATTTATACGTAGGGGATATTTATAGTGTCAAGAAAAGGTGGAGAGACACTGAGAACGGGGGGAGTGGATGAACTTCAGGTAGGGCTGCAGCGGTGTGAATGATTCCAAGCTCACACTCACTCACTAGCACACCATGGCTGTCTAAACCCTCATTCTCCACCACTAAACCACAGAATTGTTTCCAGCAGATGGCAAAGCCAAGGCTTTTCCACATATAAGCATTTCTTCTCATACAATTTGCCAAATGCTTCCTTTAAGGATGTCCGTATGTTTTACTTGGTTACCAGCTGAAGACAGGGGCCAAGGCTCTCTCTCTGAGCTCAAAGACACAGGCAGCACTTTGAAAAGAAGACCTCTGTCAGAGAAGAAATGTTTAAGTGATACTTTCCACTTCAGTTTCATATGATTTTTTTGGCTTCCCACAGTATGATTCAGTTTCAGATTAATGCATATGAATCAGTGGGTACTTAACATGCAATTACATAGAATGAATACGATTTTTTAGAACAAAATATGATACCTGGAATAATGGAATAGGAAGGAGACCAGAAAGGGAAGGATGAACGGCACAGCGGAGTCAGAGGGTCTTCATAAGCTACTGTGCAACGTGTTGAGATATGTCTAACAATATTTAACACATTATTACAGTAAATTAAAGAGGCCATGACATGCTTTTCCTTGTTTTTTGATGTATCTACAATGTTACAGTGGTGAATTATCATCTTAGATGTGACCTAAAACTCAAAAAATGAGGTGAACATATGTTCTAGTACTTCTATGCAGAAGCAACTTTGTTTATACACATCATGCAAACTCTCGCTCACAAGACTTTTTGTTCTCTAACAAAATTAAGTATTAAGTGATAGTTTAAGAATCTCCTTGAATGAGCATAATCTCCAGGCAGTTGCATGTTCTGAAATAATTACATTCTATTTGGAGTTATGATGGGTGCAAAGCTAACCTAGAGGTACCCAAGATTAAACATATATTAAACAATAATTCACTGTAGTAACACTGAAGATAAGTCAGAAAACAAGGAAAGGCCTGCCATGGGCTGTTTAAGTTGATTGGTGACTTCACGTTCTCTATATTTTGAACCTTTATGTACTAAACTTCTCATTAAAAAAGTCTCAATAACTCGCCCTAAAGCAAGAGAACTACACAGCCCCTGGTGCAATAAGCTTCCCATATATTGTAGTACTAAAAGGTTGATGTATATGACAACTGAAGTGCTCATCATGGACTGGCAATATGGGGTGAGAAGTGGCTGGGGGGATCAGTGTTGGCAGATGCTTTTTAAGGCCTTGTTAAGCTGCAGCTGGGCCCTAATCCCTCTTACCCTGTCCGTATGTCCCTGAGCTGTTCGTGTTAATGCCTGACTTGTCATTACACCGGTCCAATTCACACGGTGTTGACACGAGCTGTTAACGGATTAGGAGGGAGCTAAAACATACATGTCATTAAGATTTCAAAAGAGAACAGAAGAGGAAGCGCAAAGGAGAGGTGAATATGCCATGTCTGTGTTAAAAGAGTACAAGGCCAGTTTCCTATGAACAGAAATCTGTTTAAGGTACATTTAAAGGTCACTGGTGTTTTCAGCTGAACCCCTTCTAGTGTTCAGTTCTTCTTGAGAGAAACTACAGATCCTAGCAACCTTCTCATAATTAACCTCTTGAACCCTTATGCTTCCCTAAATACCCCTGTACAACTCCTGAAAATAGGAGGGTGATAATACTGTAATAATAAAATGAAAAAAGACTAAATTTGTGAAGTAGGGTAAATAAACATTTTTCTTTGAGCTATGAAACATTCAAATACAGGATTTTGTTTTTTATACTGTAGATTCACTTTTTCATAACATGTCTACAACAGCTCTCCTGTCGATAAACCATTTAGCTGATCAACAAAACAGGAATCCTTTCTGGTGATGTATAATAATTTTGGTTCTATTTAGTTGTATTATAAGCTTCTGAAATGTGACAAGTTTCCTCTTTTATTTGTCCTATATGACAGTAGACAGAATCTGTAAAGTGCTTTTTCCAGGTATGGTAGACAAGTGCTATACAAGTGCAGCCCATTTACTTTTTATATCATGTATGCATCATGATATTTGTATTCAGTTCTCCAACTGTGTTGTTGTAGAGTACTTGGCATGATTTGCCTCAACGTGCCACCCCTCTCTGAGTTCGTGCCCCAGCCTGACCACTGCATTAACATTTTATAAATCTGGCCCTGACAGATTTTTACATGTTTGAAAACTGATTACAGCTATTTTTCTAACATTACAACTACTTAAGTGAAACTAACATTTGTGTGCTGAAGCCTTTTCAGCAGGTTCAGTGCTATTAATATATAAACACATGTGGTATGAAACTGAAAGTTGAAGTGCCTCAACAAACTGCTATCCCCATTACTCATAACTGTACCATCACCCCTAGCATCAAACACTTTGCCGCTGCTTGCATGTTCAGTAGCAGGAAATCCCCAACCTCTTCCTGAAAGACATGCACAGTATTGTGAAAGCAAACCAATACTTTTCCACACGCATACTTTGATATCTGATGGCACTGTTCCACTTGAGCCTAAACCGATCATACCCGGCGGTATCGATCTCTGCATCTCTCTGTCTTCTTCTCTCACTGCACATTTTCCTGCCACGCCTCCACATTCTTGTCTCTCTTCCTCTCATCTCTTTCTTCAACTGTTATTTATACCACAGATCTTTTTTTCCTCATTCCTCCACTGCAATGCTTTGTCCTCTGTCCCTCCCAGTTTTTTTTTCTCTCATCTCTGTGTTACCTGATATCAGGTATGTCTGGCAAAAAATAAAGCTTTTTCTCATCACACCCACTTAAAAACATTCTTTCTCTTGCATCCAATTTATTTGTTAATTTAAATGTGTAAATGTGAGTATGTTTCTCAACATGCTGCTTATCATGCAACAATCTAATTTGTCATCCACAAAAACCCATCCTCCCTCTGTAATCAGGTATAGGTAATGACAAAGGTCCTCAGGGGACCAACACTGACACTTAGCAAGGCAGAGTATCAGCTCAATATACAGCAATTTATTGGCAGGGGACTGAATATGCTGCCATCTTTGGGAGCTATCAGCAAAGCATCTCACTGGTGCTGAGAGATATTAATGAAGAGAGGAGACGGACTGATCACACCAGCATGAGATGACATATGTGTCTGCACAGAAACATACTTTATGTGTCCTAATTAACAGTGATTGTCTTTTTGTTATATCATGCTCAGTCTGATTATTAACTGTAAAGGAAAAAGAAACATCCATAATAATTAAGGGATCATGTTTGACCCTTGAGGAGCACGTCATGAAAATGCCACCTAAACCTAAATCTCCTGAATGAAAAAAAAAAAACTGTATGACATAGTCTTTATACACATATTGCATGACAAATTGCCCACAAACAAAAGACTGTGTACTGCACATCAGACACTATCTACTCCAACAAACTGGCAGAATAAAAATGCTTAATCCAGCTGCTGCACATAAAGAGAGATAATCCAGAGCCCTTCTTGTACAGGGGCCCAGTCTACTTGTACAGTATGAGGCGATTTTAATACTGTACATTAACACCAGGCCAAATTCAATGTATCTCCTACAGTGGAACCATATTACAGGGATATTATCAGTAATTTTTTAAATTCATTAATCTTAAATAACACATTAATGTATATTTGTAGCCTTGAGCGAATTGACCAGCTTAATGAATAAAGACTCAAACATTTTCATGCAGCTCTTAAGGGAGAGAAAGGAACTGTCGACGTCCAACTTTAAATTGGTTTCAGGTGACAGCTGCAACTCCTAATTAGGCGCCCATGACTTCTGACCTGAACTTTTTTGAAGAGTTCATTACGGATTCACTTTCCTGTCTGTGAAACAGACAAGTGATTTTAATACATGGAATTTTATACCATCAAGTGAAAATCTGCTTACCTGTACCATTCCAGTCCTTTATCGTAAAAGCGGTCGAAAAAGTGTGGCTCGGCGCCCACGGCTCTCACGTCCGGATGGATGCGCAAGAACTCCAGAAGAGCCCGTGTGCCACCTTTCTTCACCCCGATGATGATGGCCTGAGGAAACTTTTTGCTCCCAAAAGTATTTGCTATAGAGATATTGTTAGACGGAACATCGCTGTTTGACAAGTCCGACAGTTGTTCCCTGACAAACGATGTCGGGGACGCGTTACACGCGCAGAGCTGCTCCGGTGACGCTTCTTGTCTATCATTTAAAATAATTCTATTCAGAGGATTATTTTGTTGGTCGTACACGGGTCTAGACAGAGAGTCACAGTATCCGTTGAGGCAGTAAAAAAGATAAGTGAAGAGAATGATCATGGTAAAGAAGACGGACAGCTTGGACTGCGCCTTCAGGTGTCCAAAGTTGAATGCAGGTCTCCATTTACTACATCCCATGAGTCGCAATGCTGAGCATGAAGACACAACGCAAGAAACATGCCATATCAAAGGACTTCATACTATTAGACACTCAAACTGATAACGCTTCTAAAAAAATCAGTGCGTTCGTGCCACAACGGCAAGTGGCGTAAAACTTCTCCCCCGCGCGCCAAAAAGCTCCACATGTTTCTCAGCTTGTCTTACTCGTCATGTGCCTTTCTTTGGATTCCTCAGCTGGTCGAGGCTTCACAACCAGCATATATTTTTTCGATAACTTCAGCAAAGTCCCAGCGAGGCTCAGCTGAAAGGTGGCTGTGAATTATGTTCCGCAGCGCTCAATGCCTTCTGTGCGCTCCCGTGGAGCGTTGGCAGCGGTTCTATAGGAAACCCTCAACACCCCTTCCCGTATGACTGCCAGACTCACGCCCCGTTTATCAGACACACGCCTCCCCCCCCATTCAGCCCCTACCACAAAGGAGAAAATAATTAACAGGCGCATTGCACCTTCTCCAAGTTGACAGGGAGGGAGAAACTCTCCTATTATTTTGAAAGCAATTTTGGAGAAATATAGTCGTTAGTTTAATTGTATTTAATGCACCGAAGAGAAGAAAATGTCATGATGAAGGCGGGATATTAGTTTTTGATTGCATACTGGGGATGTAATTTCCCTTCATTTCCACTTAAAATGACCACATCCACTCCATTTGAGTTTAAGTTCCATGTTGCAAGTGGTCACCTGCTGTCTGCTAGCCCCCCTGACCACACAACCCCTTAGAGCCAGCCACTCCTGGCCAACAGGTGCCATCAGTCCTGTGTGTGTGTGTGTGTGTGTGTGTGTGTGCCCATGTGTGCATATCTGAGACCACAGTAAACTATGGTAAACATGACTCAGACCATCATCAGTTTTCCCATGTACTTTCACTTCAGTAGTACACAGGGAAACTGTTAAATCATTATAGCCATGACAAAAAATCTGTTTTAGTTTAGTTAATTATAAAACTTATATAGTGATAGCTCCGTTTACCATGTTTGCAATATTGGGTTTTATTATGGTTTTTACTGTGTTTTGTCTGTTTATTGATATTTATTTGTGTTGCACTATATGGTCCAAGCAGGATGTTATTAAACTACTGTATATGGCTGAGATAACAGTAAGGTTGTGTTTGACTTGATGTGGCTTGATATGCACCTGGGAAATTTAATTACTTGTTCCTGAATCTTGCAAACAAACAAACAAATAAATCTATGGACACATTTTCAGCACTAACACAGAGATAAAATGACTGGATCCCTCACGATGCTGGTATATGGAGGGACTGTATATTGCTGCACTGAAAAACCTAGACACTTAGTTTTTACTTTCAGAAGAATACTTGGATTCTGATGTAAGTACAGTATTGATACTAGAAAGATTGCAGCATAATGAATTGTTGTGGATAAGGACAAACTAAAAAGGCTCCTGTACAGCTTTACTTAACTGCTGAACTCCACATGATCCTAATATTGCCCTAAAATTTCTCTTTAAATAGCCTCAGTGTTACAGAATTTAACTAGAATTACTGTTTGACGGTTGTATGCCTCAGCCAACCAGCCAAATTCACAGGAATGGGACAAATGTGAAATCACAGTGACTTTGACCTTTGACCAGTGAAATGCAATCAGTTCATTCTTGAATCAAAGAGGACATTTATGCCAAATTTGAAAAAAAAAATCCCTCAAGGCATTCCTAAGATATTGCATTCACAAGAATGGGCCAGACTAGCAGACGTATGGACAGATGGGCAACCTGTAAACATATCCTATGGCCACAGCGTTCTCCCGTGTAAAGGCATAAAAATACCACATGCCTTATTGGAGCTTACAGAATTTCAACTAAATTTCTATAGGTTTCTCCAAATCCAAACTAATGCACTCAATATGTTGCCACTGGATCTATTGCTCACGAATTTTGTGACACAGTATGGAGTTACTTTCAAGTCCAAATTGTGATCTGCGTTCCCAAAGAAATCTTGGCACTAGCCATATGTTCTGGGAACATGGGATTTCTGTCTATGTATTCTGGAAAGATGTGACAGATTTCAAAGTTTTAAAGTAAACTCAAGAGATTCCTTTGCAGCAAATGTTTATTATGTTAAATTCTTCATGTTTCCAGATTCCAGCCATAAAATTAACTGGATGATCCAGGCATCTCCTTTTTTGAATGTAAGTTTATACTGATCACCAAAGCCTTAAGTGTCAGACTGTTCTGAAATGGACACTGCCGGATACTAAACCCATTTTCCTAAAATAGTTTTTGACAATATATGCTTTATAGCATAAATCATAAAATATTGGCATCTTCACTTTATATGTTGAAAGATAAGTGAGATGCTACATGGCAGCACATCCATATGGATGATAGATCTGAAGGGGATGACAATATCTATCGACCCGGGCCTCCTCCAACCTGGCAGTATGTCAATTTTCCCTGAGTCTCTAAACAGAGAAAGGATCATTTACCCTTCTCTACTCTCTGAGCATTGCTCCATACTGATCCGCGGTGATGTTGAAAAACAATCCAAGAAATGTCACTCTGCCATCAAAGTGATCAATAATGTGGGCTTGCTTTGCTTTGTTTAATGTGTACCATACAGAGCTCTTTTCTCTGTGTGTACAAGACTCACAGGATTTGGGACAGATTTTGGTGTGCTTGGGTTTATACAAAAACGCTCATATTTGTGTGCAAAATAATTTTGTCACTCTGTCCCTGGATAATCTTTCTGAAATGCAAGGAGAAAATAAAAATCTAAAAAGTTCTTTCAGCTTTTGTTGTGCCATTTTGACTAGAAATACTTTAATTATTTACAGTCCATAGTTCATATTACATGTATTTCTGTTTTGCTAGCTAACAATTTGTTTATCCACTTTTACTGAAGATTGTATAATAAATGTGATTAAGCAATTTAAAAGTATCTTGACTACACCATATTGCATAATTTCCAATATAACCAAAAGCTGAAATGGCAGTAACTGCTTCTCTGCTATGCTAGTTAGCATTAGCCAGAGTTTTATATTCTCTTTTTCTTCCTTAATTTTTTAAATTTCATTTCAAGATATTTCATTGAGCTGCTGTCTCACTGTGAGATTACTCACTAAATTACCAAGATATAATTCAATCAAAATTTATATTATTTAATTTTAAAGAAATGTTAGGGAAAATAAATATGTGAAGTACATTTAGGCTAGCTGTTGCTATCTCAACCAGCTCTGATGCTATACTGCTTTTGTTCAGAGTTGACCAAACTACAGTATAATTGCTGTGGTTTGACTCTGCCTGTAGCTTCATTTTGTTCACTTATTTTAAATATTATACACTTTTAGGGCATAATAATTTTATGTTGTGAAATAGATTCAGTTCTTAACTCAGTTAAACCATAAATGTGTAGTTAGACAACTGTGTTTTTTTGCAGCATTTTGTAGGCTATTTGTCATATTTTCCATTCAACTATTTTCTTTTCTTGTTTTTTGAAAATTTACATTCTTTCTGTTTTGTTTTTGTTTGTTTGTTTCTTTACATATTTTCCAGGAACTTTAATCATATCTGCAATATGTGTTATACTTATACAGGTCAGTATCAGCCACATGTACAGTAATGGTCTAATCCTGAATGGCAGTCAAATGTATGGGAATTCTGCTCATGGTTTACAAGGGAACACCTGATCTATTCTCTTTCACTTGCATGCAGACACAGTACACACCTGTGTCCCTGAATGACATACACTGTGTTGCATTCCTACCCACCTGTGTAAGGTCTGTGGCTGTGGGAAGGTAAGACAGCCGTACAAAGCTCTGCAGTGACTGTTCAGCTCTGTAATCCTAGGTGAAGTCTTTGTGACGACCTGCGGCGACTGCTTCAAAGACAGGATTTGTTTCACTTCCCCTCTGCTCCTGAGTCTCTGAGGATTATTCACTGTTAACACATGAACGGATGTGTTTTTGAATATAAAAAGGAAAACTGGGTTGCATGTGATGAAGCCAATCCAAATTTACAACAATTTAAGGAATAGATTTTACAGCAAATAATGTAAAACATTTAAAAAATGTCCTTATGGGCCAATAAAATACACCACAAAAAGCAAGAGACAAAATAACCAACTAAACAATAAGTAAATAAAATAAATGACAATAAAAAAGTTTGCCAGAAAAAGAACAAAACAGTTATTAAGGAAGAAGTATAAAATAAATATGTTCTAAAGTTAAACAATCCTAATTCCTGTGCTAGATAGAGTATAAGTAAAAAGTCACACACCAATATCTACCCAAAGTTAGCTGACTTTAGCTAGCATTAGCCACCATATGCTACTGGTCATGTCTGACCAAATAAAGTAGCAGCCATATTAAACTGAACAAAGCTCAATTTTGTTATAAATTCAAGTTTATAAGACAAAGAATTTTATGTTTTTTGAATAACCATAGTCTCACTTTGAGACTTAACAAGCACAAACTGGTTAGAGTTAACAATGGGATAACAAAGATTTCCTTCAGACCTTGTGAAATTCAATGTGTTTAAAACCAGTGCATGTGTTTCCTCAGACTTTCTGCCTTGTCTCCTTTAATAGGCGTTCTGTTTTTGTGTTTCTCACAATAGCTAATCCTCTCTCTGTCTCAGGTCAAAGTCACTATACCTGACTTCTCAAGTTGTCCAGGAGGGCGTTGCATTCATTGTTCCAGCAGAGAATACAGAGCATAGTTTCAGCACTGCACTGGATCACTGATAGAATACATGTGACTAGAATAGCTGCTCTTCAAATGGCCTTTTAACTCACCTACATGGGATGTATCTTGCTCTGAGTCTGTCACTAAACTCCCCCAGACATCATCATTAAAAACCAGTGCAAATTGCTTTTAAAGATAAGTTACATGCAAGGTTTTATTTGTGTCGCTCTGAGTGATTCTGTCCAAAGTTTAGGAAAGGCTTTTGCATTTTAAAGTAGACATTTCCTGTATGAAATATCCTTCTGTACTTATAAAGTTGAAGAATGTATTTACATTACAATAATGACCAACGTTAAGCTGGGTAGGGATAGAGTAGTTATCAGCAGTACTGGTTACCATGGATGAATATACAAAAGTAAGTGCTTACCTGACCAAGGCAGGTCCTGGGGTGGCACAGGCCCAGATGAAATTGACTGCAGCACTGTAGCTTCAATAAACAAATGCCACTATAGCCACTTGCCCTAATCTTAGCTGTTCTCAAACTAGAATAGGACTGCACTATATGAAAGCTGCATAGACATATTAGCAGAATGAGAATAAAAAGAAAACCTCTTGTTCTGAATTGTTGTTAGCCATGTATTGTAACTAGAAGAGACTAGAAGAAATT